ATATAATCGATGGCACAAAGTCTGGTAATTCATGCTATCAATCGCCTTATAGTTCATCACTAAAGCAAAGTGAGGACTGTTTGGTACTAAACATATTGACACCAAATGTGGACAAACCGCTAAAACCAGTCATGTTTTGGTTGTACGGCGGGGGTCTCAATGGGGGCACTATTTTTAATACAATGTCCAACGGGTCCTATTTGGCCGCACATGATGTGGTGTATGTGTCGGCTAACTATAGGCTCGGAAAGTTAGGCTTTCTATACGGTGGTAACGGGTCGACAGCACCGGGAAATGTGGGTCTCTACGATCAAGTGATGGCTTTGAAATGGGTATTAAATGTTATATAAATACTAGTTATTAGTTTATTAATTTATAAAATAATCAAAATTAAGATTAGAGAAAATATCCATTCATTTGGTGGGGACAAGGATCAGATCACAGTATTTGGTGAGAGCGCGGGTAGTCGGTCCATATCAGCACTGATAGTATCGCCGGAAACTAAGGGTCTGTTCCGTCGGGTTATTATGGAAAGCGGCGCTAATTTGCATTATAAGGGACGACAACAACACACAACTGCCGAGGCTTTGATTGAATCGCAAACTATAGCCAAAGCTCTGAATTGTAGCGAAGATTATGAAAGCAATGAAATGTTGGACTGTTTGCGCAAAAGAGATCCCAAAGACTTCAGTAAATTTCAACAGCAGTTTACTTTCCCATTGGAGGGAACGGACTTTTTGCCAATTTCTATACAACAGGCTTTCCAAGAAGCAAAGTATAACAAAGGTTTGATATTTTAATCATTTTATTGATAGAAAATAGAAATCATAATTCATATAATAATTTAAGTAATGATACCGATTAAGAAAATTTAAAAGTAAAGTAAAAAACAATTCATTTTGTGTCTAAATGTATGCGTTTGTGTCGATTAAGATGATTGAATCTTTTGCCACAATTTTCTTCATTACATTTGAATTTCCTTTCATTCATATGAACAGCAGTTTTGTGTTGAAGTAAATGATGTTTTCGTGTAAACTGTTTGCGACATTCACTCCAATGGCATACAAATCGCTTATTTAAATGAATGATATTCTTGTGTTCAGTTAACATGCGTTTGGTTCGATAGCATTGATTACAATTACTAAAGTCACAAACAAATGGTTTTATGTCTAAATGATAACTTTTATGTTGAATTAGATTGCATTTCTCAGCAAATAATTTGCCACAATTTTCTTCATTACATTTAAATTTCTTTTCATTCAAATGAACACTACTTTTGTGTTTAATTAAACTCTGTTTTGTTGTAAACTGTTTGTCACATTCACTCCAATCGCATACATATCTCACATTTAAATGTTTACTGTATTTATGTGTTGATATACTTGCAACACTTTTAAAAACTTTATTACAATTATTAAAATCACATTTAAATTGTTTGATATCTGAATGTAGTAATTGATGTGCAATTAAATTTCCCTTCAATTGTGTATTGAATTGACATTTAGGCCAAAAACAGTGATAAGTGTTGAGTGTATTAATGGTGTTGTGATTGGAGTGAATGTGACAAACAGTTTACAACAAAACAGAGTTTAATTAAACACAAAAGTAGTGTTCATTTGAATGAAAA